TGGAGGACCCCAGCCACTGTTGCAAATCTGAAAGCACACAGGGGACAGACAAACAATTAAAAGGAAGTTGACCACCTTGACAGTGATGATGATCATCATTGCTGGCCGGTGGGATAATGAACATGGGGTGATGACGAACACCCTTCCTTACAGACTGTAAAACATTTATGTATTAAACCTTAATCATTTCTTCCTTGCTCCTTTTATACCATCCTTTGCAGATGTGCTTAAAGGAGTCCCATTCTTTCTTGTCATCACATGGACAAATGTCCCCATCCTCAGCAAACCTAAACCATCACCCTGGACTACTGCCTGAAGCCCATTCCCATCCCCATTGGTGAGAATTGGTTTGAGGAAATAAACATGCTTTGCAAACCAAATACCAGAAAACCAGTCACAGATCCATCTTGTTCGAAAGAGATCCAGAGCAGATAGGCCCTGTTTAGGCTTCAGAGTACTTTGAATAAATAAAAACTACTTTAACTCTTTCAGAGAAAGTGTATATTTTATTACTATCCAGAGTAATCAAATAAGATGGCATCATGAAAAACACAGCAAGATAAACACCAACTGTATGGATTTTCCCACCCAACTGCGTTATTAACTGAACAAACATTTGTGAAACGATTTTTGTAGATTAGGTTTATTGGTGGCATTCTAAATTGTGACCAAAATCTAGCACTGGACTCAGTTTGGCCATATGGTTACGTGTGTCTGACAGAAAGGCAATGAGTTAAGTCCATAAAGGAACCATATAAAAAAAGTTTTCACAGACACAAATGGTTTTTTACAAGTTTTTCAGTTCAGAGCCTTCTACAGAGGAGCAAAAAGACATGACTTCCAGCTTGCTCATGTAACAATATCTCCTCACCAGAGTGAATGGGAGAAATGAGGCTGCTTTCAATATAAAAGCAATGTGGTGGTTTTCTTGTTTTTATTAAATATCATGATTATTAATTCAGTCCAGAAAACTACAAGGCATCAAACCATCTACACTAATACCACAAAAGATCAAATGCTTATCCATAAAATCCTCTAGCCTCTCCACAAGATTCCTGCAAAAGAGTTTTTTGCAATTCTCTTTGAGAACCACAGTGTTATTTTCCAATTTTACTTGGAGATCATGGTTTCTCTTTAAATACCCTTTATAGAAAAAGACCACTTATTTTTATTTTGTGTTCTGTAACTGTGGCATATTATAAGACCCAGTCAAAGTTTGTCAAAGAAAAATAGTCTCCCTTTTGAAAGTCAATAAAATATTCATTTACTTTGAGTAAATTTCCTCTTTGAGTCCAACCATCTGGTTCTAAATAAGGTACCCTACTTTGAACATGGATATGCTTGCCATCTGGCTACCCGATAGCGGCAATTACTTCAGGTAAATGAACCTATACCTAATTCTAAGCAAGTATAGTCTACTATAGGATCCTGTGGCATAAATACACACCCTTTTTATCTGCCTACCACGCACCAACTTGAGGCAAAAATGAGTGTGTGTTCTGCCTAATGGAGATAACTGACTGCCATGTGCAAACATTTCAAATCTGAGAGAAACTTATTTGCAATATTCAACAAGTGGTGAATTTTCCCTTTAGCCAAATGCTCAACAGAAAGTAGAGGAGCCTTGGGCTTTAAGAAGGAGTGGGTCCCTCTACCATCGTCCAGTGCAGGATGGGAACTAGGGATGTTGAGTGTTCCCTGTAGGACACCAGGTCCCATTCAACACCTAGTGGGGGATAAAACCTTCCAGGGGTCATAAGTATATAACAGTAGTGAAATCTAATTTTCCTGCCCTCACCTGACTTCTTCCTCTCAGACCTCTGAGGAGTAAACCAAAGAATCAGATTGACTGGGTATTAATGTGTTGTTTCCATAGAAGCTAAGTAAGGTGGACCGAATTGTAGTACTGTTCTTTAAATATTTCCAGTTGTTCACTTTGACTCCTCATTAGGCAGCATAAGTATTTATTTTTATTACAAAAATTATCCAACAATTAAGTTGGCAAAAATTATGACTAACTAAAGATCAAGCTATTTAATCATTAATCAAATGAAAATTTAGAATTTGCATCTATGTCCTCTTGGAAAGTGTGTTTTTAAATGCCAGATTACAGAGCATTTGGGGAACAAAATCATCACCAACCGAAGTCCAAACCTGGCTGAGTTCCTGACATTAGTATGTTTAAAAAGTGTTCCAAAAAAAAAAAAAAAAAAAGAGGTTAGAGTGGGAGAGAGCCAAAGCATAAGAGACTCTTAAAAACTGAGAACAAACTGAGGGTTGATGGGGGGTGGGAGGGAGGGGAGGGTGGGTGATGGGTATTGAGGAGGGAACCTTTTGGGATGAGCACTGGGTGTTGTTTGGAAACCAATCTGACAATAAATTTCATATATTGAAGTAAATAAATAAGTAAATAAATAAAGTGTTCCAAGTACCCATAGTAACAACAGCAATCAAAAAATCAAAAAACTTTTAATATATGTAATATTAACATAATTGTGAAATGGCTCATTAGATTGTCTTTGCCATATCAACTCCAGCTAGAAACATTCAAGAAATTATCATATTCACTCTGGTATTGAAGGAAAAAAAATATGAAGAAGAATAAGGACTTTCTCTAAGATGCTATTTAGAAACAAAACCATCCTGAGATGCCCAGAAATACTGACTCCTGATTTTCTTTGGGATGCAGAGTGTAGCCACATGTACACTAGGTTAAACTTTCAACCAAGTTATTTACGTCTTTGGGAGAAAATCGGGAGGGAGTTTGAACACAAACATGCACTAGGCATACAAGAAATCAGTTATGGGTCAAGCAGAAACATCTGGTCTTTTTAAGAGTCCTGTTAATTTGAAAGCGCTGACCAAAACAAGCTCAGTTCCACCAAATACATTTTGGCATGGCTTAAAAAAAAAAAAAAAAAAAAAGCAGGATTTGTTGGAAGTATTTATTTCACTAGAGCAAGATTTATCAGTAATGATATGCAACTCCCACTATTGACATTTCAACATAAGCTTGTTTCCAAACACAACATGCAAATTTGCCTTATATGCCTTTTCTCCCATATCTGATATGATCATGGGTTTTTAAAAAATATATTTAATCTGTATTGTTCAGAATATGTTGAAGGAAGTGGTAGAAGAGGCTTAAATTATCCACTTCTGATTGTAGGAGCTTGAAAGTGAATAATTTATACATTTACTTATAGGAGGCTTTAGCTATCCCACAGCTACTAAACCATTGGAAAATTTATCTGAGGTTACTTCATAGCACACTATAAAAGAATAAAACTTTTGTGTCTTCCCACAACACAGTGAAATTTCCCAGTCTCCTATACAATAACAAACTTCTTCTGTGAGTTCGCAGAGACCACAAGCCCTGGCCCATCAGAAAACCAAAGTTCAAGTCCTACCTCTCCACTGACAAGCCTGCTGATCTCAGGCACCCAGGGCTGCTCTGAGCCTCAGTTTTCTGCTGTTGTGAAAATCATTTGAGAACTGGGGAGGCTCTGCTAGGGGCATCACTGCTAATCTCCAGCCTGCCTCTACTTCTAAGGTTGTCGATTTCTTTTTTAAGTTCATTTTGGTTGTTTGCGGGCCCTCTACTCATTTCATTAATGACTCAAGGTTATTTTAAATGCAATGGATTAGGGCAAAAAGCAAGAATCACTTGTTTATTCATACAATAATATGCTTGAATGCTTACTACCATAGGATACTCATAATAGCCAATATTTATAGTGGACACTCTATATGCCAGGTATAGGTTAAGTGCTTTTCAATGCATTTGTTCATGGACACCTGCAACAATCCTGTGAGAATATTACTATTATCAAATTAAAACTAAAAGTCCGGGCTCTGGAGTCAAACTGCTTGGGTCTAAATCCCTGCTTTGTCAGCTCACTATGTCACAAATGACTTGACCTCTTGCCTCCATTTCCCTATCTATAAGATAGGAAGTGTCCTGGACAGCACCTTCCACATAGGGTTCTTGCAGGAGTGAGTTAACATACGTCGCTGGATAAGCACTAAAGGCGGTCATTGTCAGCAACTGGTGACTTAGATTCGTCAGCTTCTTCGAGCCTTCACCACAGCCACAGTTGTATCTGGGATTCGAACCCACTTTTGTTTGACTCCAAAGTCTGAGCTCTAAACAAGTGGTGGAGAGCCCCACAGCCTCTCCAAAAAATAAAGAATAAAAGACGGTCCAAATCTAAAAAGCATCAAAGGCACTCGTTAACAAGGCATTTGAGACTGACACTAGCTCTCTCTCTTTTCACCACTCAAGTCATTTCCAGAGGCAGTAACTCAAGAACAACAAAAAACTGGAGTCACTCTGCGTTAAGAGACAGCTGGCAGCACTTGCAAGGAAATTTCTCGCTGGCATTGACCATGGGAGCCTCCCCGGGTCCCTGTCAGCCTCCCCCTTAGTCTGTCACCTGGACCTGCTCTTACTGCTCTGAATCTCAAGTTCCAGTTTTGGAAAACTTGAAGCAGCCAAAGTCATCCTCTACTCTGCGCCTGCCAGATAATAGGCGAGGTGGGCACATTGAGGGGGAGGGAACGATTTGCCCTGCACTGATTTCTTACTTGGATGTGCCCCGGCCTTTGGCCCTCACGTATTTTCCCTGGACCGTATCTTGGCAGGCTTTTGATGCCACCCTGGTATCGCTCAGATTTCACACTACACTTTAAAAAGACCTGTGCTAGACTACGCTAGCTAAGGAACTTTGACGGGTGGGGTTTGCAGACTAGAGGAGGGGGTGGCATTCATTGTTTGGCACTGATGAATGAGTCTGTGGAGTTGGCAGCAGTGAAAGCCCGGGTATGTGGGAGATCCCAAGGGGTCTGGGTAATGGTCCTACCCCCACCTTACGCTTCCTTCCCCCACCACTCGCTTTTCGGGTCTCAGAAGCCAGCCCGGTCCCTGGGGTCGCCGGCCGCCCAGCCGTTTAAGCAGCCTGGCTGGGTGGGGCGGCGCCGGGCACCGCCTCCCTCCCTACCTTCTCTCCCCGTGGAGCACGTAGGAGCTGCGGAAGAAGCCCAAGAGCTCGTTCTCGATCAGGGCGTTGTAGATGATCTTCAGGTTGTAATTCCTCTGCGCGTCCAAGGTCCTATTCAGCACCACCACCAAGACCTGGGTTTGCGGGTAGAGGAAAAAGCCGGCCACCGGAACAGCACCCGCCACCCGGTCCTCGGCCACCTGCACCTTCTCGACCGCCACCCGGGAGGCGTGCAGCACGACGTAGCGGGTGGCGTTCCGGCACGCGATCTCCACGTTGACCTCCCCGGAGAAGGTGAAGTTCTCCATGAAGGCGGTGAGCATCAGATTGTAGTGCAGCGGCTTGAGGTGGCCCGACAGGCGCAGCTGCGTCCACGGCTGCCACTGCTCCCGCTCCTCCTCCGACGGCGGCTGGGCTGACGGGGTCCCAGGGGTGGCCTCCCCGCCTACCTCGGGCTGCGAGGAGTCTCCGCCGGCATGGTGGTTGCGCCGGGCCGAACCCGGAAGGCTGGCGTTGCCGCCGCGCGCGGGGAAGCCGGCGGGGCCGCCGTCGGCGCCCGGCGCTGCGCTAGCTCCGCACTCGTCGAAGCGCAAGCTGAGCAGCACCGCGAGCATGGTGACCGCGAGCAGCGCCACGATGGACACGGCGAAGGCCAGCACGAGCCGCTTGTGCACCGTGATGTGGCGCTCGGTGGTGCGGGGTCGCACCCCCACGGAGTCCGTCCAGGGGTCCGAGAGCCCCCTGCCGCCGGCCCGGAGCGCGGCGTCGTTCTCCCCCATCGTGGCAGCGAAGGGTGAGCTGCTCTTCTCAGCCCCCTCCTCCTCCTCCTCCTCCTCCTCCTTCTTCTTCTTCCTCTTCTTTTTCTTCTTCTTCTTTTTCTTCTCCTCCTCTTGCTCCCCCCGCTCGCCGTCCAGGGC